TATATATATATATATATATATATATATATATATATATATATATATATTTGTAGACATGAGTGGGGCAGTAAGTGCAAGTGTGTGTCTATTAGTGACCCTAGAACCAAGAGGTTTGGATGCCCCTGGAGCTGGAGTTAGAGGAGGTTATAGGCTGCCTAACAAGAATGCTGGGACTTGAACTTAGGTCCTTTGCAAGAGCAGCAAGCACTCTTAACCTGTGAGCCAACTCTCCAGCCCCTAAAACAGTTTGATTTTTTTTTTAACTTCACTTCTTAGTTGGTAGGCACAGACACACTCTTGTAATGCCAGCATTCAGGAGGGTTTGGTGAGAAGATCTTGAGTTCATGGCTGTCTTAGGCTAGGTAGTAAGAACCTATCATACACATACACAATCACTTATGGATCTTAAGTTTACACTATACTAGGTTCCCCTTATACTGTATGCTGGGTCACCCATTCCTAGCACAGCACTAACTTGAGTCCTGCCTTCCCTTTTCCCATCCCAAGGAGGTTTCTGTGGTATTTTTCCGGGGTGGGGCCTCTCCACACAATCACAGTTGCTATTGACATGGGTCCAAGTGCATCACTGTTCAGTCCGGGGAGTAGGGGTCCAAGTACATTACTGTCAGTCTGGGAGGCAGAGAGAGCAAGATCTACTCATAATGCAAGCTTTACAATCTGAGCTCTGCCCTGGGATCCTGAAAAGGTGAGCCCTGGGATCCTGAAAAGGTGAAAGGAGAGAATTCGTTCTGTATGGTTGTCCCCTGACATTCACACGTGTGGATCCCAACACAAATTAATAATGCTGAAAAAACATTCAGTCTGGCCTCATGTGCTGGTATATACCTTTAGTTCCAGCACTTCAATAGCAGGGACGGATGACTTCTGTGAGTTCAAGACCAGCTAGATCTATATAGGGAGTTCCAAACCAGGCCTCTAAAGGTTTGGTCAGAAAAATATAGACCTAGACCCCTGTCAGGGCCAACAGAAAATCCAGGTCAGTAATAATAATAATTAGGAGAGACTATCTTTGGAGAGTTGCAGAAGATCGTTGCTGGTGATGACTAGGGGGCAGCATGGCGGAGGCCACTGAAAATCACTCAGCTGTCCTTTGCCATCTGCCAGGCTCCTTCTTCCTCCTCCTCAGGCAGAGTGAGAGGTCCCTCTCCTAGCTTCCCGGGAGAAGTTAAGGCTGACAGAAGGAGATCAAGGTTACAATGCCAGGTAGCCGGTGGGGATGCTCTGGTATCTGTCTCACTCCTTAAGCTGGGCAGTGAAGACTGAGAACCACAGCAAGCGCAAGTAATGAGAAAGTCTCCCCCCTGTGGTGGAGGCAAGAACTGCACATTTCTCCTAGGCTCCCACAGTCATACAGAAGTTTTCTTGGGCACCGGCATTGGGAAAGCTTCAGATTCCCTACAAGTCAAGAGGGTTTGGGTACAGTCTTTCATGACTCACCAGACAATTGGAAATCCTGGGAAGATTCAACTACCAGTAACTTTCCATTCATCTGTGCAGGGTCTCCTATTAGCTGTTGTTTTAGAGTAGACTCTTTTCTGACACTAAGGCAATGTCACAGACCGGGTGACCAATTGCCTCTTAAAGGTCATACCTCTGGTTACAATTGCAACTGAATTTGCCTGAGTTTATCAATCCAATCTGTCCCTCCAAGTAACTGATATACGCTAAAGTTCATCAGTGTCATGAATCCCCCTGTACTGAAGCGCTGAACTCAGGGGAGAGTGGACCCTGCAGAACCTAGCATCCAATACTGAGTACAGCTGCACAGATGAGAAGAAGATGCAGCACTTCTGCTCCAAGAGCCGTGGGGAGGAGCTCTATGTGTAAGGGGTAGTTCTCAAGTAAGAAGCCTTTAAGCCTTGCCCCTGTTAAAGCTTCTATACCAGGGATTGGGATGGGGTGGGAAGATAGCTCATTGGTAGGATGCTTACCTAGATTCCCGAAGCCCTGGATTCTATCCTCAGTACTGATAACACTGGGCTATGGTACACACCTGGAATCTCAGTACTTGGGAGGTAGAGGCAAGGGGATCAGCCTGGATTGTGTGGAGCCTCTTGAAAAAAAAAAAGAAGAAAAAGAAAGGGAAAAAAAACCTTATATAGTCTCAGATTCATCTCACGAAAAGGAAGGACTCCTACTTTGTAAAGTCATCTATGGCAAATGTCAATATAATGGTCATCTTTACAAAGTAGCAGAAGCAAGACAAGGCAAAGCAATGCCTGCTCCCCAATGAAGTTCCGTGTATCTGCTTGCTTTCATAGGCAGTAGCATATCTGTGGCTCTTCTTTCACTCTGAGGTATAATACATGCACGGGAAAGTCCACAGCTCCACAGTGGACATCTTGATACCATTTGTAACTGCTTCCTATACCTAAGAAGGGCCATTCATAAGGTTAGAAAGATCACACAGTGTGGAACCCAAGCCTGTTCAGCTTTAAACAGATTAGGAAGGACAAGCTCTCAAGGTCCTGGTTCAACCTTGGCTGTTGAATGTCTAGCGAGTCCCTGTAATGTGCTGGAATCTTGCTGGGGTAAGCCCCAGTGCCCCTCAACTGGAATACCACTGTAAATGCTTTGTAATTTTAGGAACCAAGCTTCATAGGAGATTTGGGGTCACCTGTGGTTTATCGTGGGTCTTGTTGGTTATATTCACCGCCTTGTGAGCTCCGTCCTTTCTGTCTGCATTAGAGATAATGTATCTCTATTATGCAAGGCTAAAGGGGGTATATTATATTGTAGATTATAATGGCCACCCCTGGAGAAGGCAACCAGCCCAATGATGATGGGGCACCCCAGCCAGTGGCACAGCTGCAGCAGCTTGAGCCTCGGGTGGCCCGCAGACGACTGTCCCAGGCCCGCCATCGAGCCACTCTGGTAGGGCTCTTCAACTACCTAAGGAAGACAGTTTACTCCCAATCTGATATCACAGCCTCAAAGGTACAGGGACATGGGGATGGTAAAACATTTCTCCACATGGTGGGACTGTAAAGTAAGGACTGGCCTAGAGCTACCAGCCCTGCTGCCCATAGGCAAACTGTCAAAGCCAAGTTTCTCTACCAGCAGCCAAGCAGCTTGACCTGAGAAGGGAAATTATGGGTTGGAGAGAGACCATGTGGTTACTTGGTAGGCAACAGTCATCCCCCAACAGATGCCCTGGGACCCTGTGGATCTATCTATACACATGCGTGTGCATGAGCACAAGCACACACACACACCAGAAACACATGTACAATACTAGAAGAGAATACACACTGGCACTCATGTGCAGGCTCAGTATACATGTATCTCGAGGCATTTATCTTTTCCTACTCTTTTTTATTTTTATCGATGCTGATGTTTGAGGCAGTTTCCATGTAGCCCAGGCTGGTCTAAAACTTTCCAGAGACTAGACCATCCTCAAAATCCCACCCTCCTGCCTTTGCCGCCCCAGTGCTAGAATGATGTTAATCCTACCGAACGAGAGGAAAGACCATTACCCCAAATTCTTTGGTCAAATTAAGCAAGCTTTATTTTCTATCAATTACGGCTATCTCCCCCAATGTGAAGTTTGGAAATACAGCATCAGGCACAGGAAAGGGAGGGTAGGGTTTATATAGTCAAGACCGGGGATGGGGGGTGTGGGGGGCATGTTCAAAGGTTGGGGAGTTTCCAGAAGAATTTTGATTACATAGGAACTTGGCAGAACAGCTTAAAATTCTTTGGCAGAACACTTTATCGGAGGATAATCAAGGTGTGAGTGCAACTCCATAGGGCGGGGAACATCAAATTTCAGAAACAGGTTAAAGCATAGTCAAGTTGAATTTTGCTGGAAACAGAAAGGAACTTGTTCTAACCTCATAACAAAATAGCTTCCTTCCTTAAGATGTAGTCAGGCTGGTCTATCAGATGACAGGTGTGTGCACCACCCAGCTCTTCTCGGTTATCTTCTTCAGCTGCTATTTAACAATTAATTAATTAATTAATTAATTAATGTCCAGAGACTGGAGAAAGGCCTGGTAGGTGGGGTGCTGGTAGAAGAAATCAAGTTTGTAATGGTGAGAGCATTACAAGTGGCCACAGTGGAGAGTCCCCGTATTTCCTCACATCTAGAAGGTAGAGAGAGGGGGAGGGGAGACACTTGCCCTCTGGTAGAAAGCAAGGCCCAAAAGTTCCCACTCCAAGCCTGACTCTTTCCTCATCTCCCTGTCTGAACTCTTTGTACCTGGGAACCCACTCCCAGCTGGTTGGCTTCCTTCTGGGGATAGCACCTTCAACAAAGCAACAATCATAACCTTTTAAAGCTTTCTGTTACTAGAATTCCCAGAGGATTTCCAGTTTGGGTTGGGGTAGGAAGACACCATAAAAGAGCTCCTGAGTAGGCCCAAGCCTCTGTGGAAATTTTAAAAGGTAGCTCCTGACCACTTGGTATAGGGCTCCAACTGGTACCTGTACTGTTTTCAGTGCAGGAATTCCCCCACAGATCCCCCACCTGCCCTTGGGAAAGGGTGAAGGGCTGGTGAGTAGTGAAGGAAAAGCAAGTTTAGGATTTTGGGGAGAAAGAGTGGGGTCTCTGCTGAGAAGCAGAGCTTTCCCAGGGCATAGCCATGTTCCACATGAATAAAGAGGTACTTGCTTCTGAGGGGGCCTAAAACCCTAAAGTCCCTGTCTTTAGGCATTTTAGTCCATCAATGACTAATGGAGATGTGTGTACATTCTAGAAGGACAGTCAAGCAGAAAACAGGCACCCATGGCCTTGCTGTGAGGCGTGCAGCTAAAAATTTGGAGGAAAACCATATGCACCCTCCTCCATGTACCCCCTCTTCCCCAAATTTTGGCTTCATGCTTTGGTAGGTAAGAACATGGCTCTTGACTAGTCTCAGTTAAATGAGAGGCAAGTTACTTCTGGCCTTCCTTCAGTTGCCACATCTGTGAAACAAGGGAATACTCAATGGCTTCCTCACAGGTCATGACTCAAAGGAAAAGTCCAACATGGCCGTCGGACATCATCCTGTTGTTTCCCAGTATACTCTGCTGTTCATTGCTTGCACCTCTGTCCACATCCTTCTCATGTTACAGACCAGAAAAAGCGAGGCTCTGAGAAGTTAAATCGTCTGTGCTGAGTGGTACAGCCACAAGTGCTGGGAACCCAGCTACCCGCTGTTTTCTCTCTTTTCTTGGTTATTGGAAGGACAGCCTGGGATTCTACATGGAAAAAAGTTGCTCTATGAGGCTGATCAGTGGCAGGGTTTTCTTAGTTCTCCGCAGCTGCCATAATAAGACGGCAAACATAGGTAGGGTACCTAAAACAACAGCAGTTAATTGACAAGGTCGGGGTCTGGTCCCACTGACAGCCTCAGAGGAGAACCTTTTATGCCTCTGCTAGCTTCTCGAACCCTCCACCCATCCCTGCCATCCCTTGGCTTACAGTGGCACCACTCCAGCCACCATCCATGTCTGCCTGCCTTCATGTTATCTTCTCCCTAGGTCTCCCTGTTCTGTGTCTGTCCACATTTCTCCTTCTCATAAGGACATCAATTATATTGAACTGGGGACCAGCCCAAGGGCTCTATTTTAATATGATTACCCTACCCCAAAATAAATAAGTAAACAAATAAACAAACAAATGAATAAATAAATAAAAGGCAGGAGGAAAAGCCCAGCAGGAAAAGGTGCTGGCTATCAAGACTGATGGCCTAAGTTCAATCCCCAGAACCCACATGGTGGAAGTGACCCCTGACAGTTGTCCTATGGCCTCTAAAGGGTCATTGTGGTATTCTCCCATCAAACAGTAAATGGTTAGAAAATAGACATGAAATTATATGAAAAATTATTCTAGGAAAAAATCAACATTAATGTCTATAGCTTCCCTGATGCAGTAGGGACATAAGGAGACATGGGGAAGGGTGTACCTTAGGTGGTAGGGTGCCTACCTAGCAGACACGAAGCCCTGGGATCCATCTCCAGCACTGTAAAACCTGGAATGGTGGTGCACATCTGTACAGTCAGCACTCTGGAAGAACCAGAGGCTCGAGGTCATTCCTGGATACCCAGTATGTTCGAGTTTACCCTGGGCTACATGAGAGAGAGACCTGGCCTCAAAGAAAGAGAGGAAAAGAGTGCAGGGGGAGAGCTGAGAGGTCCTGCTGAGTCAAGGCAGGGCACTGGCTCTGGACCACAATGCCAGCATCGCAGACTGATACACCTGCTAACACAAAACACCCTATCCTGAGAAACTCATAAGCCACAGAAATGCATTACTACTCACATCTCTAGAGGCTAAACTGTCTAAGTTCAAGGTGCCAGCAGATTTAGTGTCTGGTGGAGGCTAGCATGTCTGTTTCATATAGAGTTGCAATCTAGCCATGTCCTCATGTGGAAGAGTGCACAAGCTTCCTTGAGCCTCTTTATTTTTTTTTTTTTTTGGTTTTGAGCCTCTTTTTCTTAGGGTATTAGTCCCATAGATGCAGTGGCTGCTCTCATGACAATTGCCTCCCCAAAGACCCTACCTTTGAATTTCTTCGAGTGAGGGTTAGGTTCACTGTATGTAACACAAAGAGCATAAACATTTAGAGCAGAGTAACCAGAGCATCATCTTGCCGTCCTAAGAACAGCCAAGGTTCCTAGCCCTTGCATTCCAAATCAAGGACAGTGAGGAATATAGGATGAAGGGTGGGAAGGAAGGGGAAAAAATCTGAATTCAAATCCACAGAACATTTGCTATTTTTAGATATGTTTAGATCACATAAAATATTTTAATTATTTTCTTCTTTTTTGTTTTAAACAGGGTCTCACGTATCCCAGGTTGACCTTGAACTCAATATGCAACTGACACTGAATTCCTGAGATCCTTCTGCCTCTACCTACTGAGTTCTGGGATTATAGACAGATGCCAACATACCCAGCTACACAGAGTATATGAGTTCAGCAAATAAACATTTTGAGAAAAAGATACTGAGCTGCACATGGTCACAACTTGAGCAGAAGTCTAGTGGGTCTTTATGTGAGGCTGAGGTTGACATTCAGTCTGCTGAGTCCCCTTGTCACAGTGTCCCACCTGCAAGCAGCCTATGCAGACATCAGTGACCCTACATCAGCTGTGGTTGTTTTCTCAACACATCTTATTCCCGAACACTTTGGTATTTCAGTGACCATCCATCTATAGAATGCCAACATGTCTCCATACCTTCTGTACCCTGGGACAAACTTCCTATCCATTCCATAGACAAGACCAAAGATGGGACTTGCATGGGGGCGGGGGGAGGTGTATGACCTCAGAAAGACAAGGGGTTTCCTGGGCCCATAAAGAAAATCGGTTCAGCAGTGAAAGGCTGTGTTTTCAACAATGTCTGTCTGTGTCCTCAGTGGCAGGTACTGAATAAGACGAAGGTTCATATTCAGGAAATGGAACAAAGCTTGGATAATTTGCTGAAGCTCAAAGGCAAGAGACCCCCTTCCTAGAGACGGCTGTCTCAGGTTTCCCATTGAAGACAGAGATATGTGTTAAGAACCTACGGTGTGTCAGGCACTGTGCTTGGGCCATAACTGGTCCCCATCCCAGGGAATTTGTACCATGGCAGCATAGACAAGGGTCCCCAGGCTGTGTGGGTGTGATGGGCTCCCTAATGGGACAAGGCCAAAGGCCTCTGACCTCAGCTTTAGGGACCAGAGAGGAAGTAGACTAGTACTTAACCTGACTCTCCCCTCATGCCTTGGAGAAGTGGGAAATGACTTTGTGCTCTCTAAAGCTGGGAGGGTCTAGGTTTTCTGTGCCCCCCTCCCCCTGGGGTCCCTGACAGGCAAGAGAGACCCAAAGGTCTGATTTTTTTTTCTCATTATAACTCTTGCCCTCATATTCCTGATAGGATTCTTCAACCTGCAAGATGGGAATCCCAACAGCTTACAGGAGGTCAAGGAAGAATATGCCAGAATGTACTCTGACAATGACAGGTGAGACCTGGCAGGTACTGGAGCTGGGAGCCGTCAACGCTGCGTGACAGCAGCCTCCAGTGAGCAAGGCCATCAGGGTCACTCTCACCCACGTACAGCTGTCTCGTTCCTTACAGCTTTATCCTTCCTTCATCCTCACAACGTGGCTTGGATATTCTTCCTAAATGATTCATGCTTACTACAGAATTCAGAAAAGCATGAAACTGTGTATCATCTCACTCCTCTGAAAATTCATGTTAACACTCATGGATATACGCCCATCTGATAATTTTTCACTTTTCACACTACTTAAGAGAAAGGAGATCATGGAGTTTACCCACATATCTTGGCATGTGTATGTGTTATATATGTGTGTATTTATGTGTGTGTGTGTGTGTGTGTGTGTGTGTGTGTGTAACAGATGTGGAAGACTCTGCTGACATCATAGTCAAACTTGAACAGAGAGACTGGTTTGGGAAATGTCCTTCTCCTATGTTTGCTCCACTTTCCTCACCACTGTGATCCAGACACCTGAGATGACCACACGAAGAGGAAGCACTGGTTTTGCTCACAGTTGCAGAGAGTTGGGTTCATGTTTCTTAGCCCCATGAGCTTGAGCAGGGATATCATGGCATCAGAGATGTGGAAGGGGGGGGTCATTCAGCTCACAGAAGACAGGGAGCAAAGAGAGGGATAAGAAGGGGTCAGGGACAAGATACCCCCAAAGCCCCACTCCAGTGACCTACTTCTTCTAGCTAGGACTTATAATCTTATGGTCCAAGGTCTCCCGAAACAGTATCAGCAACAGACACAAAGCCCTCACACGAGAGACTTTTAGGGAAAGGGGAAGGGGAAGCTCACATGTAAACCGTAAGTGAAGTCAAGTCACTGCCTGTGCTTTGCATGCACGGTGTGTAGGTATGTTCTCTGCTCTGCATTGCTGTCAAAAGATGGCATAATGCCCCTTTCTCATGCACGGAATCTGCAGACCCCAGACTACATCTTGTACTTGAGGGAGAACCATCAGGCCCCTGTTGTCTCCATTGTCCCATGGCATGGCCATCTCCAAAGGCATGATATAGGTCCAGGTGGGCCTCTGATGAGACCCAGAGTGCAAGTCATGTCTCCCCCACCCCAGAGAGGGCTACAGTCGCTTTGCTGTTATAGCCTACCAAACTCTATGGCATTATGGTCTTGTCTAGAGTTTTTTTTGGTGTGGACACTTAGAACTTTCATTTTCTTCTCTGTACATTTTTTCCTCTGGTTTCCAGAATTTTATTTTATTTCTTAAGTTAAATGCTTTAAATTATCTATTTTTATTTTACATGGATGGGTGTTTTGCCTGCATGTGCCTGTAGTGTACTTGGAGGCTGGATGCTGGATCTCCAGGACTGGAGTTATAAGTGGGTATGAACAGCTGTGTAGGTACTGAGAATTGAACTTAGGTCCTCTTGGAAGAGCAGCCAGTGCTCTTATACACAAAGCCGTCTCTTCAGCCCTGTTTTCCAAACTTCTAAACAACAAATATGTATTATAGCCTGTGTGAAATAATTATTCAATATATTACATATATACATTAATATTTAATATTAATTAAATCTAAAATATATTAAATATTAATGACATTATAGTCTAGTGGAAATTTTTGTTAAAAATCAAGTTATGCCATGTGAAGACATTAAAAAAATGTGTCAAGGAGAAGCTGCCTCCAGTCTCCCTCCACACAGACTTTATCACTTTCTTGTTCACAGAGGAATCAAAGGAGATAAACACATGCCTTTTCTTTTATAGCCTGTGGATATGGCAAACTGACTGGCTTTCAAACCATGTACCAGCCATCTTATATTCATAAAGGCTACTTGGTTATTATCTATATATTTAAATTATTTAGCTAGTGAAATTGTATTATGGATTTTGGTGTGTGCACTCACTGGTGAGATTCGCCAAGCACTCTCTTGATTCTGAATTCTCTCCCAGTTTATTCCTAAACAGTTTTCCTCAGGACAGCCCCCCTGAATGGTTCCCCACTGAGGTTGTTGGGCTGGATGCTGAAGAAGAAGAAGAGGAAGAAGGAGAAGGAGAAGGAGAAGGAGAAGAAGTAGTAGAAGAAGAAGTAGAAGAAGAAGAAAATGGTGAAGAGAGAGATGAAGAAGAGTACCAGGAAGAGGAGGAAGAAGAGGAAGAGGAGAAAAAAGTGGATCTCTCCCACTCCTCTCCCACTCTTTTGCCAGACCTCATGGAATTTGAACGGTATCAATGACCCGGTGGGATGATTTATGCATGCAGTGGGATTCTATGGGCAAGGGGACAGACACTCCAGCTGTCCTGAATGGCAGCCTCCAAGCATGCATGATTCAAACCAGGTTCCAAATCACCAAACTACAGGATTTCCATGTGGGAACCCCAACGGACCCAGCTAAGGGGCCGGGCAAACAACCTTAAAGTTATATTTGTATAGCAAATACAGTTATTATTTAGAATGAGTGATTGGTTGGGGGTCTCTGGGGAAAAAGTGCTGCTGACAGCAATATTTAGTACTCACCCCTCCTACCACACACCCCCACACCTCACAAATCTACTTTTGGAGGTTGAGAGCCAGGCCGCATCTGCTCTTATATAAAGATGGTACCTGGTTTGCTCAAACTTCTAATGCCTCCTCCACAGACTTAAGACCCTCCAGCAGCCATGTTGGCTTCCAGAGGCATGGACTAGGGACAAGGAGGTTCACTCCTTGCTGAGTCTTTCAAGCCCGAAATTAGAGCAGGCCTGCTACTTTATAGTCTCAGAATATACCCATAGTGGGGAGAGCTAAAGCAGCCATGCCTTGTACAAGGCGGGGAGCTTTGGGAGCAAAAGAAATGAGAGAGGCATGAATCCATGTCCCCCGTGGCCCTCAAGATAACTGCTGCATTTGTGAGGCCAGAGGAAGGTAGAGACAAAACTATGACTATGTTGTTGATAAGCCAATGGTGGTCACGACTGTGAGCTATGGCCCAGTCATAGAGATCTGGCTACATGCCTGAGGGACAAACCATGTCTGTTGCAGGTACCTCAACTTTTACAAGCAGACGATGGACCTCCTAACCATGAACAGCATCATCTCCGAACAGGAAGTGACACTCCCTATTGTCTCTGCGGCCATCTCCCACCTGTGGCAGACTCTCTCTGAGGAGAAAAAGGTCAAGCTCCTACAGGTGTGGGAACAGCAGCACAGCACCTTCTCAGACCTCACCGAGGCCTGTCTAGAGCTGGCCGGTGCGGAGGGGAGCTTGAAGGACAGCGGCATGGACAGCCAAGGAGCCAGCTGCTCACTGGAGTCCACCCCAGAAGAGGTGAGCGGACCCCATGGGACGGTCCTTTGCCTTGACTTTCTCAATGCCCTTCAGCAGGTGACTCCTGGCTTTGTGTATATGAGGAGAACGAGTGGTCTGTTGTTGCGTGGACTAATTAATTATATGAGGTTAGCTTAGGGAGGGCCTCTCTATCTCAAATCTGTGGGAAGAGATGCAAAGCTGAAGACATGGGAACACAGGCCCTTCTATGACCCCTTTCCACATGGTCCTCAAAGTAACAAGAGGAATATCAGAGAAGAAAACCATCTGGCTGGCCCAAATTTCAAAGCTTGTGTTCCAGGGGGTGGCAAATTGAGGAAGACTCTAGAGAAGATGTTTGCCCTCTGGGAAAGAACTACATATACCGGGTATGGGGTAGAGCCCCTGGTAAACTCATCAGGGCCAGAGAACCGCTCTTGTCTCCTCAGGGTGGCTGCCAGTATAAGTGTGTGTCAGAGAAAAGGAAGCAAGTCCAGTTACACTTAAAAAAAAAAATAACCTAATTTATTTTTATTTTCTGTACATTGGTATTTTGCCTGCATGTATGTCTGAGTGATGGTATCAGATTCCCTGAAACTGGAGTTACAGGCAGTTGTGGGCTGCACGTGGGTGCTGGGAATTGAACCTGAGTCCTCTGGAAGAACAGCAAGTACTCGTAACCACTGAGCCATCTCTCCAGCCTTTCTTGCACTAAATAAATATTAAGTCTTCTAATCTGAAATTCAAATGTACCTAGGTGCCCCTGTATTTTTGCTAAGCCTCCCAAACTGAAGTGTAAATCAAGTTTGTTTGAATACTTAGTATTCTGTTTGAACACAAATTCAGGAGAAAGCAGGATCAAAACTATCTAAACAAGTGTATTCTCATATTATTAATCATTGTAATTCTTATAACACGATGAAGGAAATGACTGCAAAGAAGTCAGTCACTGTGTCAGCAATGAGTATCTCTGGCAGGAGAGTTACTCGATGATTCTTAACTCATCTATTCCTGGTTCAGAATTCCCATGATATTCATGAACTTCTTTTATGAAGCAGACAATCACTAATACTGTCAACATATTTGAGTTTAACTCACTCACATGCATACATACATACATACATACATACATGCATGCATATATGCATGCATACATACATGCAGGCATGCATGCATACATACATACATACATACATACATACATACATACATACATACCTTCTTGTAGCAACTGCACTGTTGGCATCTTTCCCCTTTTGTGCCACTATAGAATCCTGAATCTGAGACATCAACAACATACAAACTTGTTAGCTCACTGTTCAGGGGGCTGAGAAAGCCACACTTCTGAGCTGACATCTGGCTAGGTCTTTCTTGCTATGTCTTCACATTAAAAAGGAGGGGAGAAGGAAGGAGGGAAAATTTTTAATACCCTTTAAAAAGATTTTTTTTGTTGTTGTTTTTTGTTTTCCGAGACAGGGTTTCTCTGTATAGCCCCAGCTATCCTGGAACTCACTCTGTAGACCAGGCTGGCCTCGAACTCAGAAATCCGCCTGCCTCTACCTCCCAAGTGCTGGGATTAAAGGCATGCGCCACCACTGCCCGGCCTTTAAAAAGATTTTACTATTTTATTCTTAACTATAAAAGTGTGTGTGTGTGTGTGTGTGTGTGTGTGTGTGTGCATGTGCGAGCACATAGGTGCGTACAGAGCATAAAGAACACCAGATCCCCTAGAACTGCATTAGAGGCAGTTGTGAACTGCCCAATGTAGGTTCAAGGAACTGAACTTGGGTCTTTTCCAAGAGCCCTATGTGCTCCTAGCTTCTGTGCCATCTCTCCAATACTGAAGCTCAAGTCAAAGATACTAGAAAGTTGGAATTTTGGAATGGACAGACATTTGAGTGTGGCTGTTGTGACTTGTTTTATAAAAGAGAATTTGAAAGAAGTTCTTTGCTGACCTTGCCAGTGAGTGAACAGGCATCGGAAGCCAGCCCCCCTCACCCTCACCCTGACTCAGCCCCTGGGGATGAGATGGGATTATGGGTTGTAGACCTGGATATATCTCCAAAGTTTGGATTGGAAAGGTTTGGATTGCCCTTTCCTGGATGTAGATTGATGGTCGGTGGTAGCAGTCCCCAGCTCCTTCTCTTCCTTGCAGTAACTCCCTGGGAAGATCACTGAGCAGAGACCCTGAGTTAGAAGCTAGATTTGATATGTGTGCCCTTTGGATGTACAGGATGCCAAGAGAGAGCCTGCCTGCTGCTCTTGGCCCAGTAGCCCTGATATGCAGCAGACTGCAGTGTTAGCTCTGACACAGGTAATGTCCTCTCTTTCAGATCCTTTTTGAAGATGCTTTTGATGTGGCAAGTTTCCTGGACAAGAGTGAGGCCCAGCGTATGTCTAACATCAGGTAAGGAAGGTGGTAGAGGAAAGTGTGTACGTATGATTCATGGGTGTGAGATTACATCTGGGTGTGGTGTACATATGTGAAGTTGTATGTGTGTGTATAGGTGTGAGACTGTTAGGGTGGATGTGACTGTGTGTGTGAGTGGGTGTGCATGAGTTCCTCGTTCCTGAGGTGTTTGCAGCTACTCTTCTGCATCCCACAGATAGACATATAACCTCAAAGAAGGAAATTCATCCTCCCTGGCCCAGGGCTGGCACATACCCAGTACATGCTCAGGGTTCTAAGAACATGTCTCTTACTTGCTAGTTTCCCCAGTGTGCCTTGGTCCTGCTCATGCCTGCTCTGGGCAGTCACAGACATACTACTGATCCATCCTGTACAACACATCTTAGAAACAACAGATACTCACTGCTCAAGGTTCTGGAGATTGGACAATCAAGTCAAGGCAGAGACAAAGCCTGAGAAAGACCAGTTCCCTGTAGATATCACCTTCTCTGTAACCACATACCTGTAGGGCATTTTTGATAACAGTCCTGATACCCTTTGTCTCAGTTAGGGTTGTACTGCTGTGAACAGACACCATGACCAAGTTAACTCTTAAAAGGACAACATTTAATTGGGACTGGCTTACAGGTTCAGAGGTTCAGTTCATTATCATCAAGGTGGGAGCATGGCAGCATCCAGGCAGGCACGGTGCAGGAGGAGCAGAGAGTTGTACATCTTTATCTGAACGCTGCTAGCAGAATACTGACTTCCATGTAGGATGAGGGTCTTAGGGCCCACACCACAGTGACACACCTACTCCAACAGGACCACACCTCCTAATAGTGCCACTCCCTGGGCCAAACATATAGGAACCATTACACCGTTCTATCATTCTGAGGGTTAGCTATATCTTCCATCATTTAAACTCATACAAATATAAGTTTTGCCGGGGAAACACTTAGCTCTGGCCCATAAGGCATCCAGTCTGGTGGACACACAGAACTAACATAGGAATAAGCTTCGAGCTGAAGGGATCTCTAAGCTGTACAAAGTGAGGCACTGACAGGAGCAGAAGAGGAAAGGATGGACGGCTGCACCACAGTGAGGAGATGTGGAATGGGATCTGAAAGACTTTTTAGAAAGATTCATTTACATTATATATATATATATATATTCTATCTGCATGTACACTTGTATGCCAGAAGAGGGCATTAGATCACATTAGCGATGGTTAAGAGCCACTATGTGGTTGTGGGGAATTGAACTCAGGACCTCTGGAAGATTAGACAGTGTTTTTAAGCTCTGAGTCACCTCTCCAACCCTGGGACCTGAAAAGATTTAAAGCAAGAAGCTTCAAGGGGGACTTTCCCAGAGTGAGACAATCTAGAACTGACGTTCTGCAGCTGCTATTTGAGAAGCTATGGTCTTGGCTGACAATATGCTTGACATGTAAAGTTTTTCTTTTTTTTTTTTTGCCACGGGACTGAAGGACATCCAGGTCCTTATGATCAGAGTGAAAAGTCCTCCCAGTGGCAGCCTGGACTACAAGGAGTCCTGGAAGCCATGACCTGGTGGCTTCAAGCAGAACTTCAAGCTGCCTGAACCTTGGTTCCTCCACCCCACCTCCCAGACGCAGGTCTCACCAGGCTTGGGGATTGCCAGGAAGCAATGCATCGTGAGCGCTTCCCACCTTTGTGTGGAGACCATATTGCAGCAATGGCTAGAACCCCACATTCCTACTTCAACGCTGGGTTTAGCTTGTAAGAACAACGTTGTCGAGAAGTTGTCAGAGTACATTTGTGAAACAGTGTTAGGAACTCCACGTTCTGCTGCAAAGACAAAAAAGAAACCCATTAAAATGTCTTTTCCTAACTTCTGTAGAAAAGGATGCCTAGGCTGTTAACAGGAAGTCCTCCCATTCCAGTCCAGGGGCGTGGTCAGGGGTCACCGGGGCGTGGCCAAGGCTCTGGGGGTGTGGCCATGAAGACGTGAGGGCGGGTCTGCCTTACGATACTCAGCCTCTGTACTGCAAGGCACTAGCTGCACAGAGATGCTCCTAAAGCTAGAGAGGAAGAAGCCCACCCACAAGGTAGAACTACTATTGGCTCTAAGCTGAGTACCATGGGAAGTGCACTGAGTGGGGACTCCTCCCTGGCTGAACCCACACTGAGTGTGGACTCCCTGAGCTGCCTCAGATGGCCCCAAACCACAGGCCCTGCTGCAGAAGACTGAGAGTAAGGGGAGCTGCCATCTCTTTACTCAGGAGGTCACAGCTTAGAATACTACCTCAGGACGGAAGAGACAGGCTTGCCGTAGTCACTTTGCAGGCCTTCCAGATAGGGCCTTTCAGTGAGGTGGTACACACTTCCCAGGAACAGCCCTGGGCTACTTGACCATTCCCCTGGGTGCTGAAAGTTTGCACAGTGAGCCGGTGTTTAGGGGATGGGTGGTAGCAAGCCCAGGTGAAAGGTTAGATTCTAAATCGTTTCTATTTCTTCTACTGTCAGTGCTGTGTTTGCCAGCTGCAACTCAGATAATCCAGAGGAGAAATTTCAGCTCTACATACAGATCATTGAGTTTTTCAAAGGCCTTGGCTGTGTTAACACTCCATTAAACGAGGTAAGGGAACAGGAAAATCTCTACCAACACCTTTAGTGGGGAGGGCACTCTGGCCCACCCTGACTCCATCCGTCTCAGAGGGTTTCAGGCTCGTTAGTTCACTTCGTGGTCGTTCAGCTTCAGTCTGGTGCCTTCTGTACAATGGAGGATACCAGAGAAACTGAAGAAAGAGGCAGGGGAATTTCCTCCAGGACAGATCTTCACAGGAGCCCTTTGTAGCAAGGCCAGATCCCAAGGGCTAGCTCCTAGCGGACACTCATAAACATTGTGTGAGCTATTTGATTTGGTCATCTGTGAATCTTCAGTGCTATTTCTTGTCAGCTTTTGAAGGCTAACTTCTCTCTAAAAGCTCACACTGTAGCTGGTGGTGACGTGAGTCACAGGATCCCAGTTAGGAGGCCATTCCTGAACTCTCATAGGGGTGAGGGATACTGAGACCACACCATCAGGGGACAGGCCCTTTCAGATGCACCGCCATGGTTTCTCCTCAGTTAACCTAGCAAGATACAGCTGTTTGTTTAAAATAGCAATATAACAGCGACAAACATTTTCAGCAAGGGCACCATGTATGTGGGCAGAGGTGTCTTTGACCTCTTTCTCACTGGTTCCTCATTTCTCCCTGCTGACACCACTTTCAGTTCCTCTCGGGGACAGTGTCTGTCTCTGCACAGTCTACTTTCCAGCAGTCCCTGGGTGCCCAACCTATAGCACCTGCCACATTCCTTCTGTTGGATACGAATAAATTAGTACATCTTGCCAGGGCTTTAAGAACAGATTCAACCTACATGGCAGAAACAAAGGGCCGAGGGTAAGAAACCACAGTAGGCAGAGTTCTTGAACTTTAACCCCTCCAATGGTCCCCAATGGAGGAGTTAGAAAAAGGAGCTGAAGGGGTTTGCAACCCCATAGGAAGAACAATAATATCAACCAACCAGACCCCTCAGAGATCCCAGGGACTAAATCAACAATCAAGGAGTACATATGGAGGGACCCAGGGCTCCAGCCGCATATGTAGCAGAGAATGGCCTTGTCGGGCATCAGTGGGAGGAGAGGCCCTTGGTCCTGTGAAGGCTTGATGCCCCAGTATAGGGAAATTCAAGGGTGGGGAGATGGGGGTGGGTGGGTGGGTGGGTGGAGGAACACCTTCATAGAAGTAGGGGAGAGAGGATGGGATAGGGAGTTTCAGGGGGGGGAACCGGGAAAAGGAATGACATTTGAAATGTAAATGAAGAAAATACAATTTTTTTTAAAAAAAGGGAAAAACACACATACAAAAAGAAACAAAAACAGTAGCAATCCATGCAGTAGTTCTGGAGGCCAGAAGTCTGAAATGAAGAGCTAGGCGGGCTGGGCTGCTTCTTTCTGTGCCTTGCTCTAACTTCTGATGGTTTTGATGATGCCCACCTTCTCCAGAGCAGGGGTTGGGGTGTGGAAGGTTGGAAACCTCACATCTGGGTATCACCCTTGGGACATCCTGCTCTCATTAGATGGTTGATTGGTATAAGGATCCATAAAGATCAACCCAGATCTGCCAGGCTACCAAATAGAGGGGTTATCTTCTGCTTGGTAGAGAGGAAGAAGAGAAATCAAAAACTCTGGAATTACACTTAGGGAAGAGACAATAGAGAATCCTGAGAAGTTGCCTGGCATCTTTGAAAAGAATGAGAAGCCTTTACTAAACACGTTGCTTCTTTTTCTTTTTTTTTTAAGTGTTTTTTTTTCATAATAGGTAATGCATCTACATGGTATGAAATTTAAAACTTCCCAAAGGATATTAAATAAAATCTCAGTCTTTCTCTTGTCATTGTGCTTACTGACTATCCCTCAGTCTTTCCCAGAGACAATTACCAGAACCAGTTTCTTGCCCATCTATTCAAAGGCAGTCTATGGATATTTATGTGTTCTTTACACACAAATGGCTGCCTCCTATGAGCAGTGCCTTGCCCGTAACTCTTCTAATATCTGTACCACAAATATAGGACCACCACATTCCTTTTTTTAAAGCCAGGCATGTGATTGGTGGGTGCATCATGGTATGGGTCACAGTATTCCGTAGATGGGTTTTTAGATAAAGCTTTAAGATTTTCCCTCTCTTATGGGTGCATGGGAATTCCAAGCATGGGGCAGAAGCCAATTTTTTGCTGCCCTTCCTGGAAGTCATAGAATGTTGTATCGAACTAAATGGAAATAACCAGTCTCGAAAGACCAAAAAAAGAAAAAGAAAAAGAAGAAAGAAAAAGAAATAACCATGACCCCTGCCTGGCCTGAAGATGCAGGCAAAGCTAGAGTGTTAAGCCCACCTGGGATGCTGGGACCTTCTTAACTGCCTGGAAACCTGCGCTGGTCCTAATTTTCCATCTCTTGTTTACTGATCTACAGGAACCAGATCCTCCAGTCGATGATGATATGATGCTGTTGAAGTGCCTGGAGACCTTTGATGATGAAGATCTGTAATGCAGAGGGGCCGAGAAGGAAAAAAATAAATGGGGGAAGGGCAGATTCAAGTTTGAATACCAGTAGCTAAGGTTATACCACCTTGTCTTTCAAGACTCACAGAGAAAGGCTGTTTCCAGAAGCCTTTTTGATGTTCTCAATTTCTGTTACTATAAAGTTTTAAGAGCAATGATTTCTGGTGTCCTTGCAATGATTTTCTGGGCTTGTTGAATATAAAAGACTAGTCTGCTGCAGGACACACATCGACTATGTCCCAGCTCAGGGGACCACCTGTAGCCAAGGCCTAGGCTGTGAGCTTTTCAAGAAGACAATAGACAGGATCTGCCCTGTGGGTGATATAATATCGAGTCCTTTCAGCATGTCCTATATTTGGTCATACATCATTCTAGATGTTTCTATGAGTGTGTCTTTGTATGCTGTTAGAGCCATGGTGAGGGTGGGGCAGTACAATGATATTTCTATTGCCATTTAAATCAGTAAACTTTGAGTTAGCAGGTTATGCTTCATAAGGCATTCAGTTAAAGGCCTTGATAACAAAAGGCTGGGTTCCTCAAAGGAAGGAAGATCTCCACGGCAGCCCTTCCTCACTAGGCAGCCCCAACAGGGAATGTTGAATTTGTACCTCCATGATGGCGTGAACCAACTGGTTAAAGTAAATCTCTCTCCCCCTGTCCATATACAGATATCTACAGCCAATCAGTTCTGACTCTCTGGCGGGCCTGTCCATATACAGATATCTACAGCCAATCAGTTCTGACTCTCTGGTGGGCCTGTCCGTATACAGATATCTACAGCCAACAGTTCTGACTCTCTGGTGGGCCTGTCTGTATGCAGATATCTACAGCCAACAGTTCTGACACTCTGGTGGGCCTGTCCGTATGCAGATATCTACAGCCAGTCAGTTCTGACTCTCTGGTGGGCTTGACTAAAAGACTGGAGTTAATTTGAAGTCAAAGCATTTGTACAGGAGCTGAGGTGCTTCTGGCGGTGTCCAACCACATTGCATCACGTGACATCGCTGTCTTTTTGCTTCTGTGCACACTAGGTGTACATTGCACACGTGCCATCACACCAGGCAACATCAACAAGCACTGACAAAAATTCCTCCATCCAGGGTTAGACTGTTAAGTGACGAATTGCATGGTTTATACTGTGCATACAACATTTTCTGCTTACAGAAATTTAATTGTTTAATGATGGAAAACAAGTACTTTTAATATTTTCCTGTTGCCATTCCTCAACCTATAAAGTATAAATTAGTATGCCTTTAGATTATGTGGAATTAGAATATTTGAATTTAAAATTTGGTGTTTGCTAGGCGTGGTAGCACATTCCTTCAATCCCAGCACTTGGGAAGCAGAGGCAGGTGGATCTGTGATTTCAAGGCCAGCCTGGTCTACAGAGAGTTCTAGGACAGCCAAAGCCACAAACTAGAGAGCTCTATCTCAAATAGACAAAAATGAAAATTGCTACTTGAGTTGCTGACTTTGGGTTTCATAAAAAAAAATCCTCTCCCTCTCCCTCCCCCCCTCCCTTTTCCTCCCCCTCTCCCTGTCCCTCTCTCCCTTTGGCTGGTGGACATCTGCCCTATTCTCTATTCTGACCAGCCACTAGGTGATCAGCATTTGTTGACAAGGCAGAGAGTAATCGGTAAGAATTGCTTACACAAACTTGAGGCAGGAGATTCTTGGTACAAGCATTACAATGCTGTAACGTGAGGTCAGAGAAATGAGCATTTGAATAACACGGGAGTAAACTTTACACAGTGTAGAAAAACATTATTACTACAGCCCTTCACGGGCTTGAGCCCTTCCTGGGCTCCCTCTGAACAACTAAGCCTGGTTCCTAGGTTTGCAACATAATTATTAAAGCATGGAACAGGGGTCAGACCTTGTTACTTCAAGCCCACCATGTCACACACTTACAATAAATAGGCTTTTAAAACAATAATACAAGTAACAGAGATATATATGCTCGCATAAAGTATTAAAAGAAGATTTAGTGACACAAGATGGAGCCTTGCTGCAGGGACATCCTTGAGTAAGAATCAGCTCTGGACTCAGAGGAGGGAGCCAGCTTAGAAAAAGGCTGGGTTCTTTCAGGGGAGTCACCTGAGGGTACAAGTTCAGAAAGAGGGAGGTGAAGCGATGGGGATATTTGCACGAGCCCTCTTTTGTTGCTTCACTGAGGGATTGCTCAGTGAAACAGGAGGCTGAGAATCTGGGCAGTGCAGGGGACGGAAGGGAGGGAGAAGAGCAGGGTGGAAGAAGGCTATAGACTTGAGTCTGCTTTGTGAACTTAAGACCGTGAGTCCTAGACCAAGGACACTCAACTGTATCCTCTCCAGTGACCGTGTAAGCAGCAGAGAGTCATGGAAAATGGTCAGTGAGGAAGTTTAGCCAAGGGGCTGTGGTGAAGAGGACCAACCAAAACCATTAAGAATTCGAGATGAAGGTGACGAGGTGAATTGAACTAGTCTCAGAAAGACGTTTCCTCTTATGTATTGCTATTAGATTTTTCTGTAGATACATAAAATTACTTACACACACACACACCATGAAAGTTAAAACTGTCTAGGAGAACAAAGAGGAGGGAGTAATAGGAGAGGGGGGAGGGGAGGGAGAAGCTTTGGGGAGAATGTCCTCATTGTACAATATATGTCTGTGAAGATGTTCAGTGGATACACCCAAAGGGAAAAAAAATTTAATGCAAGAAGCTGACTGGATTGACCTTGAGTTCTGGTTGGATGAAGAAGAGGGAAGAGACAGTAAGATGGGGCTGGGAAGATGGAAGATGTTAATGTTGGCAAATGAAAGGGATTTTGGACTTAGGGACTTAGAGGTAGTAATCTAGAAAAACAAGACGTCAAAGAATTTTTTTGAGGAGCTGGAGAGGTGTGTAGTTGTTAAGAACAGTCTGACTGGGCGGGGGGGGGGTTAAAAAAAACAAAAAAGAACAGTCTGACTGTTCTTGCAGAAGTCTTGAATTCAGTTCCCTGCATCCATATCTGACAATTCACAACCACGGCCCCAGGGGATTTGATAACCTGTTCTGGCCTCAACACATTCAAAGAAAGAAAGAATAGTAAAGCTTTGTTTTTAACAATGCTTAAAGTGAACAACTGTAGGAGAGCCAGAGGAGGGCAATCCAAAATCCAGCCTGAGGTACTGGGAAGGATCATGTTACCACGAAGCTCAGACACACAGAGGCTAGGGACAAGGATGGACACTGAAGTGATGGTGAAAGAATGTCGCCAAGTAGGAAGACAGAATTCCCGCAAAGGGGGACAGCGACCTGCACATGAACATCCTTAGGGAAAGAGGGCTGGTGTGGGGCCGTCAATGGAAAGGGATGTGAGTGGGAAATCTGATGGCATGAGGGTCAAGCAGAAGAGTGGCGCTGTCAGGTGCAACCAGGAACAAATGTTCCTCCCCTCTGGTGCCGGCTAGTTTTATATCAACTTGACACAGGCCAGAGTCATCCGAGAAGATAGAATTGCAACTTAGAAAATTCCTTCATAAAACTGGGCTGTAGGCAAACCTATAGAGCATTTTCTTAATTAGTGATTGATGCAGGAGGGCCCAGCCTACTGTGGGTGGGGCTACTCTTTGACAAGCAGTCCTGGGTTCTATAAGAAAGCAGGCTGAGCAAACCATGGGAGGAAGCAGCATCCCTCTATGGCCTCTGCATCAGCTCCTGCCTTCAGGTTCCTGCCCTCTTTGAGTTCCTGTCCTGACTTGCATCAATTCTGAAAAGTGATATAGAAACACAAGCCAAATAAACCCTTTCCTTCCCAAGTTGCTTAGGTCATGGTTCCATAGCGATGAGAACCTTACCTAGGACCTCATCCTTCACTAGCCTGAGGGCACTTTTCATTTCTGTCCATTCTTCAGCCTCCAGCACAGTCTGACAAAGGCTACATCTGATGCAAGTGCATTCATTATCTAACAATATGAAAAAAAAATCACCAATTTCCTAAAAGTAATTGTCAGTTTTTGGTAGGCAGACAAGAATAAAAGAAAAAGGAAGAAGAGAAAGGAGGAGGAGGAGGAGGAGGAGGAGGAGGAGGAGGAGGAGGAAACACCAGGAGGTGGAACAGCAATGCACATGTAGAAATGCCAGCCTTTGAAGACAGGGAAAGAGGCATAACCCAAGGAACACAGGTCCCCTCTAGAAGCTGGAAAGGCTTAGGTAGGAAACATTTTCCCCTGCAACTGTCAGCGGAGACAGCAGTGGCCATACCTAGCATCTAGCTTTGTCAGAGCGACTCCAGGCACCGGCTTCCAGAACTACAGAAGCAGCTGTCTGGTGGTAGAGCCTCATTAGGGCAGAAATACTCCTCAAGCTGAATACTTAGCAAGATCAAATGCACTGGCCCCATAGACGTGCTGTGCTCAAAACGGTGAGGAACCCAAGCTTCCGTTGCTGTCACAGTGTGACAATGCTACACACCTGCACAGCCTGTGGCCACCACCTTTAGCTTTGGTGAGAAGGAGGAGGGCAACAGGCAAGCCGCAGCTGCAGCTGCAGCAGGGAGGGAGGAGAAGGGAGGGAGGGAGGAGGCGGGGACAACGTTGGGGAGGGAAGTACTACCAAGGTACTTCCAACCTTTCATTTTGTCTTCTACAGAATTCTACAGAATGGTGCAACCAAGTTTGGTTTTTGTTTTTGTTTTTGAATCATACAAAAAATAATTTTAAATGTTTTAAGTAAAATTACAATTCAGTGCTGGGCCTCATGCAGAGCTCTCAGAGGCCATATGTAGGGTATCCGAGAGGGTTGGGCCCCACTGCATCTAGTCCTCTTTCTTTAGGTTCCTTCCTATGTTTCTGGGGTCTTCACCTCTTCTTTCCCTCCCTTTGAGGACTGATAAATAGATCTCACTCTCTGTTTTCCTTCTTTTAAAAACATCTTATTTCATTTATTCATTTGTGTGTGTATGTGTGCATGTGTGGCCATTTTGTGTGTGTGTGTGTATGTGTGTGTGGCAGTTATGTGTGTATGACAGATGTGTGTCTGTGTGTGTGTGTGTGTGGAAGTTTTGTGTGTGTGTGTGGTGGAAGTTGTGTGTATGTGGCAGTTTGTGTGTATGTGGCAGCTTTGTGTGTGTGTGTGTGTGTGTGTGTGTGTGTAGGGGGCTATGCTGGTACCTGGTGGTGGCCAGAGAAGCTGAGGAAGTCTGTCCTCTCCTTCCACCGTGTGGGGCCCTGAGGACGGGAATCTGGTTATCCGCTCAGCATAAGTGCCTTTACCTGCCTGGCATCTGCTGGCCCATGTCCACCTCTGTGTCTGAGTTAAGCTTTTCTCACATGGCTAAAAGGCTCTGGCCCATCGCGGGCTCTAGTCGTAATTCACGTGGTTGATGAGACAGGGCCTCCCTATGTAGCCCTTGTCTGGCCTGGAAACTGTCATGTAGCCCAGACAGACCTCAAAGTCACCGAGATGTCCGCCTCTGCACTGAGATTAAAGGTCTGCGCCACTACACCCAGCCTGGAAATCCCTATTTTAAATGGTAATCTTCTTCCTCCCCTATCCCACCCCCAGCCATAGTTATTTTGAGGTACAGTTCTAAATTGTTTCAGGGGCCGTTGTCTATTCTCTCTAAAGGGTTCTAGAAGCCGCAGAGTGTGAGCCAAGAAAAGTACGCCAAGAGGAGTCCTCAAGAGTGGCCTTTTCAAACCCACTGCCTGGTAAGACAGTTTGGATCACACATCCTGTGCTTCTGGACTCGTGGATGAATGCACGCTCTTCCTGATCGGATACCTCAAGCTCAACACTCTGCCTGTAAGAATCCAGATTTCTTTTTCCTCCTGGAGAAATATTTCTGTGTCCAGATTCCAAGATGCTTCCAGCCAGTCCCCACACCTGGTGACCTTTCCCCTTCCCAGGGTCACTCAGAGAGTGGGGCTCTTAGGAAGTTCATGGAGAAGAAAGGAAAGCTGGCATGAGAAGAAAGAGCATCAAGCCCTCCACAGAGTCTCCCCTCAGTCACACTGGCGCACACTCGGGCCTCCCTTACAGCAGGACGGGCAGCGTTTGAACCCACGCGGCTTCCTTGGCTCTTGGCGCCTTCTCCTTGTCTAATTCACAAGGGTACACACACTCGCCCTCCCCTGGCACACCCCCTTTCTACTCATTTCAGATTGGGCATCACCAAGCCCTGACAGGGGCCAGTGCCTCCATCCACTGCCAAGTAGAGTTAGATGAATGGTAGCAGTGGAGATGGAGAAAGTCCTATTAGAAAAGAAGCAGCCTCTGGACCCAGATGTTCCCCACCCCCACAGCAGACCTCAGTCCTTCCTTCTCTTGAAAGTGGGTTTGGTCAAGTCAAGAGTTCCTGTTGGGAAAAGTGGGTTGGGAGAGGTGGGTCCTTTCCCTGGCTCATGTGACTCAGCACCTATCAGAATTTGAAGACCTAAGCCTGATTCACCCTGGGAAATAGTGGAGGCTTCTGAAGGCACCCCACACAGACTGAATGCAGCTGCCCAGAAACCTGAGCCCTGCTCTGGCAGACAGAGATGCGGGGGCAGGAGGGGAGGTACGAGTAGAGCCTGATTCCTCTCCTCCACACCCAGGCTGTGCCTCCTTGAAAGGGGTCTGAGGCCCGGGAGTGAGGACTGAAGAGCACTAGGAAGCTGTGTGAGGGAGGACTGTGGGAAGAACGGGACAGAGCAGGGCACGGGTCCGTCTTAATTCCACCCAGATGTCTTAGGTCGGATCACATGTCCTAAAGCTGGACAGGTGCTAGAGGGGGTCTAGAGATAAGGGGATTCTCCTTATTGCTTTTCTGTGTGAGCCTTGAGGAATTAGCTACAGGCTACAGGAAGAGCTGGAAGGCCACAAGGTAGGTTCCTGCCTCTGGAGGAAGGGGACCAAAACAGCTGTGCCGGTTCCTTTTGTTGTTGTTGTTTTTGTTTTCCTGTGTTGAGGTCTGAAGTTGGCCCATGCATCTGCTACAAAAGTTCTTGATCACAGAGCTACGTCCCTAGTTTGCTTTTAAAAAAATAAGTATTTATTTTATGTGTATGAGTGTTTTGCTTACATGTACATCTGTGCACCACATATGTTCCTGGTACAAAGGTCAGAAGAGGGTGTCAGATCCCCTGGAACTGGAGTTGAGGATGGCTGGGAGCCACCAGGTGGGTACTGGGAATTGAACCTGGGTCCTCAGGAAGAACAACAAGTGTTCTTAACCACTGAGCCATCTCTCCAGTATCCCTAGCTTGGTTTTTACTTTTTTATTTTGAGACAGGATCTTGCCAAGTTGCCCAGGTAGCCTTAAAGTCAGTTTGTAGACCTAATAAGTCTATGATCTTCCTGTGAAGCCTCTGGATTGGCTGGGATTACAGGCTGCCTGGCTCCATCACCTTTCAGCAAACAGCCTGCCCCTGTCCCACAGCACACCTCTTCCTCCCCATCCACCAGAATATTGCCAAGCTTTGGAGAAGAGCAGGCTTCTGTGGAGATCCCAGACCCATCGTCCACTCTGTCTCGTCCAGGAGACAGCAGAAGGATGCCCTGAGGTCTTCTCCAGACTGATCATGTTCTTCATCATCACTGCTTAGCCACCACAGTACCTGGGTGCAGAAGGTCCTGGAAGGATCTTTGTGTGACTATTTGTGAACAGAGATCTTTCCGTTTTGCAGGCCAGAGTTTGGCTATGAGAAGATGGGGTGGGGCCATTCTATTCACATCTTGGTTTCTGTAACACTCCACAGTTGAGTTCCAGAGGAGGTCTGGGAACACAGAGTGATCTGGCTCGCTCCCACCTCATCTCCGCGGTGGTCTATCCTGGGCCAGAAGGGGAGGATTCGGGTACATGAAGATGTGCAGAACTTGGTGCCAATCCCCCAGGGAAGGCCATAGACCTTTGAGACCTTTGGAGTCTCCTCAGAATCCTCCTGGATTTTACTCCATGCCAAAAGGCCTCTCTCCTCCAGGCTACCTAAGAAGTGAACAGTGAGAAATCAAGACTGGATCTTGACTGGGGTCACAAGTGCAGGGTCCTCCTATGGGTGCCTATGCCATCCCTGGAAGTACCTGAGTGCTCACCAGTGCCCTGCTTTTTCTTCCACTCCTCCTCCAAGCCTTGGCAGGAAGCTCATGAGGCCATCTCAGAGCCGCTACTCATGTGGTACCCAGTCTCAGGCTCAACCATGGACTCTCAGAGCTTTCCTCATCTCCCAAGAGCAGACCTCCCCGTGTGTGTCTGTGGAATGCAGGTGCACTTCGTGTTTGGTGGAGCGTATAATGTGGAAAAGAGAAAGCATGAAGCAGGTATAGTCACAGAAGTCCCTCGGAGAGCCTCAGAGAGGGACACAGAAAAGAGAGGTGTGCAGATGTCTGTCCAGAAGCTGAGATGGAATCTCTATGCTTTTCACCATCAGTGCCCCTCTCAGCCCTCGAACACTCAACTAGCTCATCCCAGGCCTCATTAACACCCCCCTGTTTGTTTCCTCTACGAGCCTGTGGGTTTCTGGGAGACAGAGACATGTCTTACCTCTCTTTATATTCTCAGTGAGTAACACCTGCTACATATGTAGTAGACAGAAATAAAAATGTTTGAATGGATGGATGGATAAATGGATGGATGAATGGATGGACAAATATGTGTGTGGTTTTCCTACCAATCAACTGTATTATAGGTTTGGGAGAACCAAGGTCATCTCTTTTTCCTTTTGTATCTGGTATAGTGTCCCTTTAGAGCCTTGCTGTAGCTGAACTATATCCCTTGAAAAGTCACACATTGACAGCCTAATCCTGGGGCGTCAGTATTTGCCAATAATATTTAAGGAGGTAAAGATGTTATAAGGAGCCTGTAGTTTTAGAGGGAGGCCTCCCGTCTGCTTATTGTTTGCTTTTGAGACAAAGTTGTATGTATCCTGGGCTTGCATGGATCACTATGTAGCTGAAGATGACTGGGGACTCTCCCTTCTCCTGCCTCTAACTCTCCAGCACTGGGATTCCAGGTATGCATCACTGCAGGTAGCTTGTGCATCGGTATAGACGGAAGCTAGATCTGTGCGTGCAGGCAAGCCTCCACCAACGGAGCTACACCCTACCCCAGCCCTGTCTTCCGCACACCAAAGGAGACAGCGAAACAGAAAGACTGCAGGGATGTGACAGCCCAAAACAAAGGCAGTGTGAGGACCCCCCCACTGTCGATCAAGAAAGGTCCTATGAAGAACCAACCTGCCTCAGAATTCCAGCCTGGGGGACTGAGAGAAGGCTGTGTTGTTTTGCTCACCCTATTCTCTGATGGTTTTTGGCAGCAGCTCAAGCTGACTAAAGTAGGCCAGGCCTTATCCTGACTCCAGCCCCAGGGCCCATTTAAGGTGTGCTATGAACAGTTTGACAGAAACTCTCAACC